CCGTTTGGCCTGTTTTCGAGCCGTCAAGAGTTCCTCGAGAATCTGCGCCAGCAGCCCCTTCCTCTGCTTCGTGGTAACAAACATGTCCCCGTTCGGGGTGACAATGTAGTCCTCGTCCTTTTTCAGATTCCACTTCTCAATGTCCATCTTCTTGATGAGAGTGGTATAGCAGAGATTGTGGGCCTGCATAATACTGGGGTACAGCGAAGCAAAATCTAGAGTGGCGATGGGCACGTCGTAGTACCCCCTGGTAGGCTCAATAACGGTGGCACCTTCGTACTGGTCATCAGACGAATCTGACCGCATGTTGGGGATGACCAGCTTTTGCTCCAGGGCCTTCCGGAAAAGCTGACTCAAGAACTTGACCTGCTGGCCTCTGGCGAGAAGATAGTTGAACGGAACGCCCGTGACTCTCGACATTTCTGTGTAGTTTTCGACGCAAGACAGCTTGTCTATTAGTCTCTGTGGGAGGTAGGCGTCCTTGAGACAGTAGAGTGCCAGTCGACGACGCGATTCTGGGGTTCCTTCGAACAGCTCCGTAATCATGGAGTAGTGTACGTCTTCCTTCTGTTCGCCCAAAAAGTGGGAGCAGACAGAGTTCAGCGTGTAACTTCGAAGTTGATGGTCACGCTGGACCAGCTGCAGCAAGTCAAGCTGGAGTCGTCCGTTGATATTCGTTGCCTTGGTGTCACGGTTGCCCATCTGCTTGCTGGAGAAATTGCTGTCTTTGGCAACAGACCTCACATTGGTCCGCGACCAGAGGTCGAAGCCGTGAACTTTCAAGTTCCTCGCACGCTCGAGAAGATAAGGGAAATCGAAGTTTGAGATGTTGTAGCCCGTAATGATATCAGGATCGACCCGCTGTAGGAACTTCTGCCACTCCGAGAGCATGGTCTCCTCCTTGTCGTAGTCCAGAATCTGGGTAGCGACAATGGGACTGGTGGTATCAAGGCAGAAGACGTTCCGGATGAAGGGCTTCTTCTCTCCGTACTTGGTGACCACGTTGGCTATCTGGATGACGGAATCGTGGTTGGCTTCGGGGAAGATTCCTTTGCGGCCAGCACATTCGATGTCGAAGGAGAGGATGCGCAGGGGGGCCATCTTGGACCACTCTCCGACAGGCTTGTGGGCGATCAGGTCGCGATAGCTGACTTCGGCCTCGATTTGGCAGTTGGAGTGTTTGTTGCGAACAAGCTGGTACCGGCCTGCGGGGGCTTCAACCCACGACATGCCCGCAATCGAGCAATCCACCATGAAGCGGAGGATGTATTGGATGCTGTCGAAGGTCATGATGGTGCCGTCGACGCTCTTCCACATGCCCTTCCAATTGGCATCGCCCTTTTCGATCAGGGTCCGGACCCTGGCGATGAACTTTGGGTCTTCCACGGTGATTTTGATATATGGGTTCTGGGTATTGCCCTGGAACTTGTAGATGTTCTCCCGCATGGTCAACGACACGGAATGGATGACGCGCTGGTGCATGGCGAGCTGCGCCTCCAGATAGGTCTGGTACTTGGGGCAGTCATCGGGACTGAACGAGACGGGAGCGGCGACGTAGAGGTAGTGTTTGAAGTCCTTGACGTGCAAGAGCACCGAGTTGCCGTGTTCGGTCACGCCAAAGAGCTTCACCGTGGCCTGGCCGTTCTCAAAGATGCCCTCCTCGGCCTCGATCGACTGGAAGCACAGGCTGTCCTTGGACGGGTGGAAGTCCTCGGGCACCGGCGGGCGGTCCCAAGCCTGGTCCTTCTCTGTGTTGTTCTGCTTGCGATCCGAGATATCCTGGCTCATGCGCTCTAGAATGTCGCTCTCGAAGGCGCTCTTGGGCTGGCTCGAGGGTAGCCTGCCCTTGCCGTTGGCCTGTGAGCTGGGGAGTCGGAAGGCGGGGGCGGGCGAGGACGAGGGCGGCTCGAGCTGCTCGAGACGGCGCTTCTTGGCCGAAGATGGCGCCGCGGGAATGTTGCGACGGGCGCTCGACGCCTCGCCGAAGACACGCTTCTTGGGCAGCGTGGTGGCGACCATTTCTGGTTCTGGATCTGGGGCTTTCCCGAGGTTTGATGGCAGACGATTGCGTAGCTGATATGGTCGTGGCAGGGTGGAATAAGCAACAATACAATTGTCAAGTCATGGGTATCCGAGTATCGAGCTTTGGCAGCGTCCTGTCCAGTGTCCAGTATATCGCGGAATTGTTATGCTGCCAGAAGCTGTAGAAGACATCGAGGCAGCTAGCTGTGGAGCGATGGGACGAATGGAGGGTCTCGGGCGCGTCTCCCGCGATCTCGCTAGTGGTGACGGGACGCGACTTTTAATTGAACCAAAGCTTGATCACGTGAAGTCGCGCGAACAATCCCTGCCAGCGACATGGTTCATCCAGTGTGCACCCCGCCAACCTGCCTGCCGCCCTGGCTGTAAGTCGCCCCGCGTGCAGCGAGCATTCTCCCTAAACTACGGGCGACAAAGCTCCATTGACCCCAAAGCCGTAATCAATATTTACATCCCCTACAACCCACCTACCCACCCATCTCTCAACCAACCTACAAGCCGACTCTACAAAAGCATCCATACCTCCATCCATCCATCCAACCACCCTCTCCTTTGCGCAGCGCAATGGCAGACCGCCACGGGGCATCCTCACGGCCCGCAGGTGGCGGCGGGGGCATCTCCAAGGCGCGCAGCGGCAGCGCAGCAGCAGCAGAAGCGCGGGGCGGCGTGACCGGCTCGAGCGTGCGGCGGAATCTCTTCCAGAGCCAGCTGACGCGGCGCCCGACCGCCGGCTCGTCGTCGACGTCGGGGGCACCCGAGACGACGACGACGACGCTGCGCTTAGACGCCGACGCGCACTCGGACTCGTCGTCGGACATTGTGATTCGCGATAAGAACGGCGAGGTGGAGCTGGGCGACCCGCCGACGCCGCCCATCGACGAGCCCGACGAGGTGGCGCTGGATGCGCGGCACGAGAATGAGAGGGAGCGCGAGCGCCTGGCCGAGGCCGTCAAGCAGCATCAGATTGACCAGAATAGCATGCCGGTGCAACCCGACGGTAAGCTATTATTGCCCGTCCTACCCTCCATGCAAAACGGCCTGCCTGCCTCTCTTGTAGGTATATCCGGCTAAGACAAATACACATTGACTACAGAGCTCCTCGAGGCGGTCCGCGCAAGCCTGCGAGCCAAGGTGGCGGCCCTAGCAGAGGACAACTGGATGTTTGAGCCCGAAGAGCTGCCGCGGCACCAATAATTTTTGCGCCCCCTTGTCTGGCAACATGCACCTCTCTCGCGACATTCCGTCATCTAAAGGTGGTATCCGCGTGCTTCAGTCCAACCCCTCTGCAGCAGGCGCCTCGACCCTTCTCACAGGCGGCCTGCCCGCACCACCACCGCCACCACCGCCAGGCGCACCTCCCGCACCTCCAAAGAAGCTCCCCATCATATCCATCAGCGGGTTGCTCTGTCTCGGCCTCTGGATCCCAAAGTACATCTCGGCAATCAGCTCGAGCGCCGTGTCCCACGCGCCCCCGAGCTCTTGGATATGTGGCGCGTACTTGCTCCGCAGCTGGCGGAACAGATCCGGGCTGCCCTTCTGCACCGCCAGGAGCAGCAGACCCAGGAAGTTGAGCAGCGGCAGGCTCGGGAAGACGCGCACGTCCGAGTGCTGGGAGCTGACGTCCTGGACGCCGAGGCTTTTGTTCTCCTCCGCGCCGCTCAGCGCACTGACAAACGACCGGTAGGACGCGTTGGCCGCGCGCACGTTGGCGACCAGCAGATACGGCAGCACGGCGCGCGCCGCGTACAGCGGGGCCGTGTGCGCGTCGTCCTCCTTGTACCATGCGTATTCCATGCGGCTGAGCGTCTCGGGCGAGTCCTTGGTGCCGAGGATCAGGTGTTTCTCTGCCTCGTCCGTCTCGTGCTCGTCGGCGAAGAGGGACCCGACCACGTGGTGCAACTCGGGGTCGCCGGCCGGGTAGTCGCCGAACTTTCTTGACCAGCTGTTTGTTTGCGCCAACTAGTTAGCTGTGGTCTGCTTGCCCCCAACCAAATAGAGTAAAACAAAACATACTCAAACATCTCCTTGATAAACTTCTTCCGCGTCGGCTCCTCGTTGTCAAACATGCGCAGGCAGCTCAGCAGCTTGCCCTTGGACGCCGCGTCCGGCTTCTGCCCCGCCTGCTTGTACACGTCGACCAGCAGGATGGCCAGGTCGCCGCCGCTGCCGCCCTGCCCGGCCTTGAGCAGCGCCTGCGACACGTTGAAGAGGATATCCACGGCGGCGTCCCAGTTGCCCGCCTTGGTGTACCGCGCCGCCACTAGGCGCGTCTCCTGCTGCGCCTCGTACTGCTCCTCGAACTGGCCCTCGGCGATGCGCTTCTGCAGCCGCGCGATGATGCGCTCGATCTTGTTGTCCCGTCGGGCGGCCGACATGGTTGCGTTTGCTGTTGTTGTCTCGTGTGTCGTGCTGTCGATGCTCGATTGGGGTGTCTATTGATTATCCGTGTGGGCGAGATGAGTCGTGCTGGTACGGAGAGAAAAAGCAAAAAGAGTCCAATTGAATTGAATTGACGTATCTGGTTGTTGCTGTGCTGAGTCGAGTTGCGTCAAGTTGAGCTGAGTTACAGCGGATGTGAGAGGTCCAACCTTTACCTAGCGTGCTAGCTCGATTCAGGCTTTGGTGACGATGTAGTCATGGATCTGCCGGGCGTAATTCCTCGCTAGGACCGACCGGCTAGCTGCACGAATGCCCCGCATGTGTTCATCCCTCCTCAAAAAGGTGGGGGAAGTCCGTGCATGCTCCCAACCCCACCTAAGAGCCCGCCCGCCCACCCGCGAACAACCCACCGACTGCCCCTATTCGTGGAATGGAATAGAATGGAATGCTGCTTTGCTGACAGCGTAATTTCCTCTCTTAGTGTCCTCACTCACTCACGCGACACAATGCAAAAGAGCAGATTACCACTCACCCACCCAAGGCAACAGCACGATCTGGAACAAACCCCAGAGCAGTGTCAAGCGTCGGTGGTGTAATGGTTAGCATCTGCGCTTCCCATGCGCAGGATTCGAGTTCGATTCTTGACCGACGCATTTGTTTTTGCTTCCTGTAGCCTAATTCTTTTTGGCTTTATTTCATTCATTTGGAACATCATAAGTCGAAATAAAGCAACAAGCAATTTCCAGAACCTTTTCTCCGAACTTACCTGCAACTCATTTCCTAGACTCTAAGGAAGTGAGCCTTGAACTTTATCACCCGACTATGTTCCCGTCCACGCGTCCGCTTATCACAACCTCAGGCAAGCACCCAGAAAAGACAGCAATATTACCCATCCGAGCTGCCCCGGGGTATCATTTGTATTTCCGTGTTTCTGTATTTCCGTATCTCCATAATCATAAATTCTCGCTGATATTTCTTCTCTAAGCAACCCAACCCAACACACCAAACACAAAAAAAGCCAAACCAAGCCAAACCAGGACTCCGTTCGAATTCCGCTATTGCTCGCGCACTTGCAATGCATAAACAATGGATAGTGCATGCGTGTAATATGTATGTGCCAGGTTATGTGTATCTTGCATGCAAGCCCTTCTATATCTTTCCATACCACCACGGCTGCGTGACCTCAGCCGACCGACCGACTCATCACAAACCTCTGCTTGCAAACCGGCAACCACGGAAAAAGGAAAAAAAAACCACAAACGCTCGCGCTCGCTACTCAATTTCATCGAGATATTCAGCCATAGTCGGTTCGACGATGGGCTGCGGCCCCCAGTACCATGGATCCTCGGGGAACTCCGCCCAGTAAAACCATTCAGGGACGTTGAGCAGCCAGGCATCCGCAGGCATTGTTATTGTATAGTAGACGCCGCCTCTTGCCCTCGGCCCCTTTCTTAGCGCCACGTCGAACCAGCTGGGCGTGTCCCATGATAGCCCGTAAGGACATCTCGAAGTGATTGACGTCCTCAGCGAGCGAAGTTTAAAATGCCAAAAGTAAGACTTAACGAACGGTATCACGACCGGGAGTCTTTGCGGCGGTGGACGTGGCACGGGAGGACCTCTCCGTTCCGGCGGGTCTAGCCTCTCAAATTGGAATCTGCGCAGTGGTCTCGTTGCCGGAATTTGGTGTATTTCCTCGGTCGGTGTTGCGGGCTTATTCTCGGGCAACAGAGGCAGCGGCTTCTCGGTCGGGGGCGGAAAACGTTCCTAACCCGATCGATCGCTCGACGGGGAGTCCTCCTCCAGGCTATGAAGCAAGGTCGGGTTGGCGCTGGGCGACCTCAGACCAGCTCGCGTTATGAGAGGGATGGAGCCGCCGCGCTCCTGCATCTCCGGAGTATTCTGGCTCGTGCCGTCCGGTCTCACTTCCTCATCAAGAGACACCCGAGCGAGTTCATCTGATGGGCCGCTCGAGTTTGCCGTTCTCTCAAAGCCCATGCTCTCATGCCCACTAGGGGCCGTTGTCCGGTGGGCCATCCTTGCATCATCACCCTGGGCATCAGGCAAATGGTCAGACCCAGGGGCGGTCATCCATGTGTCATCGTCTTCGAGATCATATGGCGCGTCCCGTATGTCGTCGTCAAGATCCCCAACCGATGCCTTGTTGGTATCCATGGAATCAATGCTTTTAGATCTGTTGCGTCGCTTGGCTTCTGAGCTGTCCCCTTCATCTACGCCCCCGCTTCGTTTCTTTTCACTGCCATTGCCCCACTGCTCTGCCTGCGACAGTTCCTGCTTCAAATGACGATTGTCGAACTTAACGAACGTCTTCAGAGCATCTGAAAGGGGTTCGGGCGTTTCAAACATGGCCCTTTCTGAGGCGAATATCATCACTGGAGACTGGCCCGCTTCGCAAGTCTCGGACAAGACCGCATCGAAGCCTACCATCTGAAGCCAATCGTCAGTTTAACCAGTCGCATCAGCAAGCGAGACATCATAGGTCAAGGTTTCGACGTACCTCTTGCTGTACGGATTGTGTCGTGCCAGCCTTGGACCAAATCTTCCACCATTGTTCTGAGGGCTCCGCATCATCGTCCATCTGCATAAGATCAACCTCACGCTTTCGGACGAAAACCGTGTTCGCGTTGTTAACCACGCCCCTCAGGGTGTACTTTTCAATCGGATTCAATTCCTCATCGGCTGACGGAACCGTGAACAACTTGGCAATACGAGCTAGACATGTGGATAACGCGTCTCTAGCAGGCGATAGAATATCTAGAAACACGGCTGTCAGCGATTGTCCAGAGATCGGACCGGCTGCACCTACCTCGCTCGATGCGTTTGACCTCTGACACTGTGTTTTCTGCCTCGTTCAACTTGCTCTCGTAGAAAGCAACAACTGCAGCCTCGTCTGCCGTCAAATTGGCCACGTCGGGGTGGTCAGGTAGGTAGAAACCGGCATCCTGGCCCGGCACCAGGCGGGCTGCCTCGTGATCTCGCCAATGTGCTCGATCCTTTATTTGCTGAATCTTCTGGCGGCAACGGTCAATAGCCGCGTTAGACATGGTTGTGCGGTTACTAGTCTTGCCCGTCTTCGGACTTGTCCACTCATCCGAGTCATTCTGTCTCTTCCGGACGTCCACGAGTTCCTTATCCAGCACCTCCCTTTCGAAATATATATCGCCCATCCGTTCCCGGTTGCGTTCCATATAGCGGTCCAAGTACAACGTTTCGGAGAGGTCGAGGCGCTCTGAAAGAGGGGATGCAAAGTAAACAGTCAAGACCCGGGGCGGGCGAGTTATAGCTGCCAGCCTGCGTTCGACGTGAGGCTCTGTCGCAAGATCCGAGAAAAAGCGCAAATCCAGGGCCTTATAGAGAGTGTTCTTGGCGTAGTAGGTACAGCTGGGATCAGTCACATCTATACAAGCAACGTAGGGGAACAATTCGTTGGAGCCTTTGATAGTTGCTGAACGCATGGGGGTTATGAACACGGCACTGGGTCCGGGGCCAGCATCATTTACTGGCTGAGCCTGACAGCAAGAGTGTAGTAGGTTCTTAAAGAACTCTTCCTCGAGGTCTGGGAGTTCTGGTTGCCGGATGCTGGCAAGGATGTCGGCCGTTCCATAGCTCCGCTCCGTTGAATCAAGAAATGCGACCAAGCGATGTAGCTCGTGGGCCCAAGATGGCGGAAGCTCCCAGTCTTGGTCACAAGTTTGGTCTTCGGCCTGCTCGTCTGATAAAACGATGGGCTGGCCTTTCCACCACTCAGGATTGCTGCCGTATCCGTTTGCGGGTGGGTGGCCGAGACGAAGCAGGGCATTTCGAGCGGCAGGAATCGAGTGAAATACCATCAAGATGGCCCCCACACGATCCCAATGCGCCGAGCCTCGGGACCTCAAAAAAACGTGGGACCCGTCGCTCCTCACCCTGGCAGCAGGTTCCGGATCCTCCACCGCCTCGGCCTTGACTCTCACCATTGCCCACTCGTTGGGATCATACTCCGACTTGTTGGCAGGGCCGAAGTGTGCCAACGTCACCCCGGATTCTTGGGCCGGGGAGGGCGGCGGCCGTTGCGGCGGGCCAGGGATTGGTTGGTGATTTTCCATTCCAGATTGCTGCAGGGACGCGTTGATGGCTCGCATGATGTCATCCTCTTCCTGTGCGCTGCTGGGCAGATCGTTGCGGTATGTGCCCACGGGTTGTTTGAACTCGCCCGCGGTAAGGTCGACCAAGTGGCTCATAGGCGACTTGGTGTTTGCTCTGGATGGTGGCCGAGAGGGCGCGGGGCGAGTGGGCGCGATACCGTAGAAATCGGACGGCTCGGCGCCCCAGATGACATTATTGTTGTTGTTGCCGTTGTCTGCCGACTCTATGAGGAATGCTAGTTGTCCTTATCAGCCCGAGTAGCCCAGGGCCCCAGGGGCTCGCTCGCCAGCGACGGTTGGTGTGTGTGCAGCCGTCGACTTACATGGGGCCGACTGGGCGGCGGACGAGGTTTGGTCCCCCTCACGGCTTGACGAGAAAGCGGTTTCGTCCCAGGAGGCAGTGTATTTGCTTGCAAACTGCGGGCTAGTGAGTACTTACGCAGGCGGCCACAAGCTACGGACTGGCAGTCTGACCTTTTCCGGATCGTCAAAGAATTCCATCACCACGGCACTGACATCGTTGTTTTTTGCCCGCAGCGCCCGCTCGGCCAGCTCGTAGCTCATGCCCTGGCAGGTGAACTCCATCAACTGGCTGATCTGCTCATCCGAGGGCGCTGCATTTGGGACGAACGCCATCTTGTCTGGTCTTGGGGCGCCGGCAGGTGTGGGGCGGCCTGGGAGCGAGCTGCGAAGCTGGCTGTCGTTGTCGTTGTCGTCGTCGGCGGCGGCGGCGGCGGGCCAGCTGCGACCGGTCGAGACCTGTATCGGGTGTTTCTGGGCAGATGCTCTTCGGATGTCTATGTCTAAATCAAATGTGGTCTAAACAACGAGAGGAGTGGCAGGCCGAAGAAATATCTTGACCAACGGTCTATTGATTTAGTAATAAGATGGTGAGAAAAAGCTGGGGTGCTACAGGATACTACTGCCTCCTAAAGGCACGAGTTACGTAGGTAGTGCCCAGTCGCGACTGGGTTGGTCTTGCACACGTGCTGGCCCGTGCACGGTACCTGACAGGGGGGGTTTGACACCACCTTTGGGTCTCGCAATCACTGTAACTCGTAACCGCTTGACTCAAGGGCACCCAACCGTTCAAGACAAACATCACCAACAAACATAAGAGGTGGTTCAAGCATGGGTGTGTCACATATTAGCCAACGCCATCTATTCATCCCGCGCACAGATGGCAAAGAGCAGACACCGAAACCATGTCAACTACGGGTTAATAGCAAGTCTATCGAGCCCTCTACTCGTGGTGTATGCCGTGTGCGTCTGATCTGTCTGTTCGTCCTCTGTCTGCCCGCCCGAACCCCGCTTGTCCTTCCAAACCCCCGTTTTGACGGCATAATGAAATCGGCATGAAAAAACGGCCATCTCGCAGCCGAGCAAATGTGTAAATACAGCAAAGATTCCTTCCGTCTTGGAGGCGCACGCAGACCAAATAACGCCTTCCTGACGCTATGCATGCATGCTAAAAAAAAATAAGAGAATTCGATCTGGGTAGTAATGGCATG